TTTTTGTGTTTGTCTTGTTATTTGTATTTGGCTTGGTATTCGTATCTGAATTCGTCCTCATTAGGGTCTTCGAAAATCTAAGCATGGCATCCATACCGAAACTCCAGCATTGACATGAAAAATTGTGTCGGCCTTTAAATCCAACGAAGAAACGCTCTTACCAGCAAGTACTACGTTGGTCTGAGTAGGCAATTGAGAAACAAAGTCATCTCTCGTCGTACAAAAACCGCTCATCATGTCCATGCTGGTGTATGGCACGGAGGCATGGACAATGAAAATATCTGATGAGGCGGCTCTTGGAGTTTTCGAGAAAAAGATTATGCGAAAGATATATGTACGGGCGTTTGCGCATTCCGGTGCTGAAAGTATTCAACGGGGTGCCAAAGAGTTGGAGAAATTAGGTGGAGAGGCACTTGGTTTCACTTGACATTTTCTATTGGCCTCAGTTGGAGTGATTTATTGGACTCGGCAAAAATAGCTTAGGCGGTCATAGCGCAAATCAGGAAGAATGTGGCCATTTAAGGTTAAGAATGAAACTTGCTACCATATTTCCAATTTCCACGGTAGCTGAAAGGTGAAAAGAATCATCTTAGAAGTGTTTAGGCTTGAAACGAAATTTAATTTCGCATTTATTTTCACTATTTCCAACTGCGCATTTCTTCGCAATCTTTCTGTTTTAATAACTTATTTAATTTTTGACTGTTTTTCGTTTCGGGGCTTTATTTTACGTGTGCTTTATAATACTAATAATTATTTTAGAAAGTTAGTAAAAATATTATTGACGCATTTCTTAAATTCACATTCATTCGATACATGTTAACTTTTCTTTAACAACGCCGTGCGACAGTAAATTTTACACACAAAAAAATGAATATATTCGCGAAACAATGGGTAAGTTGTAGTAAAACTGCGAACTTAGTTTTTCTCTCTGACGTCAGGATTTTTTTAAAAATTAAAAAAATATGATTATTTCAAAAAATTATTTAAAAAATTCAGTGCAATGTAGGATAACAATATGGGGTATCATATAAAAGCGAATATTCTATAGAATTATAACAGAATACATCTTTTGGTGCATAAGGACGAATGGGCATGGAAAATGTCCTTTACAAATTTTGTCCTTAAATATTCTTGAAAGTTTGCAATATATTTTTTTTCTTTTTTAAATTATTGTTTGAGGATTAATATTCGTACGACCTCATTATCGAATTTCGTCGTGCAAACTTTATTAACTTAAAAAGATAAAATTTATTAAATGCGCATTTTCAATACCGATTCGTCCTTGTAAACCAAAAAAATGTATTGTCTTTAAATTCTACAGAATTTTCTCTCTCATTTGGTACCCATATTGTTATTTGACATTGCACTGATTTTTTAAAATATATATTTTTTTGAATTAATCATATCTTTAAAATTTCAAAGTCATTTGAAAAAACTCCTGGCGTCAGAGTGAAAAACTAAAAACGCAGTGTTACCATATTTGGCCCATAGTTTCGTGAGTATATCAATTCTTTCGTGTGTTTTGAAATTTTGTTGTTTTTGTTGCACGGCGTAATATTTACTTTTTAGTGAAACTCCGCCATATTCAGGCATATGTATTCCTTTAACATAAAATATTTACACTTCCATAAACATAACTTTAAAAAGTCCTTACTTGCACTTCACCAAGTCCGTGAATTCAGCCTGCGAGAGCGCATATTGCGGATCGAGTGTGATAGGTTTCTTACACCGTTGCTGCTGTTTATCACTCTTGGCACGCTCACCTTTACCACTTTTTCTCACCTTAACGAATGCAGAGCGGCTGCCCTTTTTTGTGTTGTTGTTGCTTTTCGAGCTACGCTGCTGATTCTGGCGCATACTTGCAGTACCGCTGCCAATGAATTCAGCATCAGCATTATCAGTTGGCGCCTTGCCACGCCCACCGCCGCCGCCGCCGCCACCGCCGCCACAGCCACTGCCACCAGCGCCATTAGCATCTTCCTTATTGGCGGCAGCCGCTTTCTCGGCGAAACTATCGCGCCGCCATGAAGGCGTTAAAGTGCGTATAATATTTTCGGTATCATTGTAGCCTTCGTAGTGATAGCGTTTACGCAAATTAACACCGGAAAGAAATTCGAGCGTTTGCCAAACGTTCATTGTGTTCGTCTCGAAAAAGTGCTCATCGTCTACTGACCAGTCGGAGTTGTGCGCGATGCGATTTGCCAACATCATTGTGACGGTTGTGCAATTGCTGGAGTTGGTGGAGCGCTGCAATGGTGGTGGTGTTCCAGTGAGTGAGGAGCTTTGCGATGACAAGCGCTTGCTGTTAGGTGTGCGAGGCATTTTCGGAGAGGCGATGTTGGCTCAAAAGCAGAAAGTTCTATTTTCGTAAAAATAATTGCGTGGTGCACTGCAAGGCTGCAAGTTGCGATTGCTCACTTTTTTTGTCGCTGTTACTGTTTTTGTTATTGTTTTCTATTCTTTACTTGTTTTATTTATGTAGTTTGATTGGCACTGCCAAGCAATTTTAATTTCAATTCCATTTTAAATGTAACTTTGTAACTTTACAAACTCTTCGCGTTGCACTTATTTTATTTGCAACAACTACTCATATGTTTGGCGTGTGCTGCATGCGCTCGTTTGCACTACGTATTGTGCGCCGCGTTGCACCAAATGTGTAACAGCTTCAAGTCGCTTGCCAGCGCTGTTCGCCGTTTTGCGTTGCGCTGTTGTTGGTTCTAACAACTTGCTGGCGCACATCCACTTTTGTAACTGTTGCCATTTTCATTGTTTTGACACCTTGACAGCAACACTTTGACACACTTCCCGACACGCCACCTTGCTTGCTTTTTACCCATCCCATCCCCTTGGTGAGTGCGCCTTAAGCACTTTTATTGGGTGCTACGCAACAGCCAATATGTAGATAGTTGCGTGGCAGCAGTAAATAATGTGTGTGTGTGTGTGTGTGTACTTAACCTAAACTGTATCGTATTATATTTTTCAAAATTTTCCATAGAATACTAATACACACAATCTCCTTCCCTTGGAAATTTCTTCCCAAATAAAACATCCTATATGATGCAATGCTTCTATCTTGACTTCCTCCAAGCAATAAATATCTAATTTTCTGGCATAAGAGGCCAACGACAAGAAGGACCTCAAAGCTTTGTAGTGTCTGCTATTCGCTCAACGTTCGAAAAGAAGCCAAAAGTCTACCAACTCTTCATCGACGATACTCTTCCTACATAAATACATACAGTAGCAAGTGAACCAAGCTTTGCCCGGAGTGCATATACTTTTTAAAGTTTTCACGGTTTGGATATCAAGTAAATTTCTTACTCTAAAATTTAGGTGGCAAACCTATTCCAAAATACGTTGGTATGAATAGCACATATCTTTAGCGTAGATGTACTGTGTATATATGTATGTATACAAAAAAATGCTGATTAAAATTAACAAAACAAAAATTTGTATTTCATAGAAGCGTGCCAACCTTTATCGAAAATATTTTCGAACCAAAGCTCTCAACAATACCTTTCATTTGATATGCATATTGCGATGTTTTAGATAAATTGTGTATAATCGAAAATGAGTGGCAACCTTACACTATTATCCCAAAGGATAACATTTTAATTATAGGGAAAGCATTGTTTAAGAACCTTCTCTTGGTACCCATGAATAGTAATATTTTACCTTTTTTTTCTTAACAAAAAATTAAATAAATATGCGATTCAAAATAGGTGGCAACCCTATTAAAAATATTTTTTACGAGTCTTCTCGAAAATAATGCCTATTCAGATAACCTTAAAACATCCAAAACATTATCTGCGTACAAAATATCATCAAAATCGTTAGAGCCGTTTTCGAGAACCCTGCTCAAGCTGTGCTGAGCTGGGTTGAAGGCTCATACCGCACATAAGAAGTTGGATGGCAAGAAAACATGGCGAAGTAGACTTTAATATCACTCAAATTCTAAGTGGGCAGCAGGACTGCTTTAGAGCGTACTTCTTGTTAGAAGCCATCTTACAAATGCTTTTATCAAGATATACGGGTAAAAAGCCCACATACAGATATTGCCACTGATTTAACTTACTAGTGAACCCGCACGGCGTTAAAACACCCAAAATTTAATTTCAGAGTCTAAAAAGTATTCCAAATGTTAGTCGGAGTTATAAGCGATCCGAGTGCCATTGTTCGTCTAAATCCATACAGACGTTTCTGATACTATACCGATAAAAAAGTTCTTAATAAAAAAAATTTAGCTTTATCGCACATTTACAGGCTAATGTCCTTAATTTGACCGCTCATTTTATAAATTCCAAAGAACGGTGCAAATCTAATGACTATCGCAAAGAATACTTTCTCTAATAATAAATATATAATTATAATTAATTACATCGGTATGACTTTGCGAATAGGTGGCCAGCCGAATCAAAGATATTTTCAAACTAAAGCTTGCATAAATTTCTATCGATTGACACCCATATCTAAATATTTCATAAAACTTGTGTATAAGTTAACTAAATTCGACCTTTTAAATAGGTGGCAGCCCTCTTCAAAAGTATTTTAAAGCTTAAACCTTGTTAACTCTCCTTCGTCTGACATTGCGATATATATTTTAATTAACTGATGAATTTAGTTGAATTTGATTTTTTAAACATGTGGCAACCCCGCTATATACAGCTCAGAAATAAAAAATTTTCAAACCCCCTACGATTGACACCCGTATTAAAGTAATTCATTAATCTTATTAAATAATTTTTAAACAGGTGACAACCCTCTTCCAAAACCTCAAAAATATTCTTAGCGTAGAAATTGAAAACTTCTTAACACTCTTTACTTTGATATTTAATATAACTTGTACATATGCATATCAGTTAACTAAATTAAACATTTTATGCAGGTGGCAACCCTCTTCAAAAATATTTTCAAACTACTACCTTCTGAAACCTTTTTCGTTTGGCACCCATATGGCGATACATATTGCTCTTACCTAATTCCCGTATTTCAAATTGAATTTGAATTTTTAAACAGGTAGCAACCCTCCTACAGTTAAGTGAAGAAGCAAAGCTTTTCGATAAAATTTCGATTGATACCCATTTTGTAATAACTGATTTATTCTCTAAAAAGTGAAACCTTATTTCAAATATCTGTAGTCCAAGCCTTTTAATTTGACACCTTACTTTGTAAAATCGATCGAACGGTACGGTATTGATTATTAAAAAAATTGAATTTAATTGTTCAACAGGTGGCAATTCCTTTCGAAAAAATAAAACCAGTTTGCACATCTACAGTACAACGGTGCAGATCTTTTATCCTGTACAAAAAATGCTTTCGCGTATTATATATCTATATAGATACCTGGCTACCCAAAATGACAGCTGCTGCGCCAGTTAGGGGGTGCTGACGGTATAAGAAGGTGTTACCCTACATACGTACTTTCTTCCTCAAAAACCTTAAAGCTGTACTTAATACATCAAAAGTAAAACACTTTCGCTCCTCTTTACTATGAAATCTTTATACAAATATTCTATTATTCGCGGAAATGTAGTGTTAAACAATTTCGCGAATTAAAAATTCATTTGCCAAATTTTCTCCTCCTTATCACTTTCCGCACTTCTATGTACTCGTAAATATCACCCACTTTCAGCCAAATTAGAATCGATAACAAAATAGTCAATCAAAATGAAAATAAATAGTGGCGCACAGTAGTCGCAATTTGCGAATTCCAAGCTGCTAGCCGCGAGCGTAGCGTGACTGC